CATAGAGTTCAAATGTTTTGACTTTGCATCCTTGCGTTTTTACACGTGTCTGGTGTGTGTGTGTGAGAGAGAGAGAGGGGGAGAGAGAGAGAGAGAGAGAGAGAGAGAGAGAGAGAGAGAGAGAGGTGTGTGTGTGTTGTGTAGGTCCTTAAATTGCGGAAAGGAAAGGACAATAGTTGAATGAGTAAGCAATTGAAAGTTATGTGGGTCTTTTGATAGTTCTTGTCTGCTATTCTTCACTCTTTATGATACCAACAAATTACTTGACAATATCTATAAATAAGCCAACTTAATTTAATAATTTTGAAACCCATATAAAATTCACTTATTTAGGTTTTGAATAGAATTGATTCCAATTGGATAAAGAGACCATTTTCATTATTATATATAGAAATTAAATAAGTCATAATATATGGTATTAGAACTAAATTTACACAATTTAGAGAATTCATGAATTACTAATACCTTTCTACAAGAAGTTCTCAATAGTATTTGGTGTTTCTATGAGACAATAATTCTTTAATAAAATAGATAAATAATATGACAGAATTAAATAAATTACGTTATTGCTAAATACAAATAAATAAATTGTAACACATAATATCAAGACTAAATTTTCACAATTTAGAGATTTCATGAAATTCCTAATCTCTTTTTTAAATTGTCATTAGTATTTTCAGTGTACTAATAATTAATATTAACGTCAGTCCTAATAAATATAAAATATACATTGCCATGTGAATTTGTACTACAAAGTGAATTTTATATTTAAGACGCAATGTAGTATAAATATAAAGTTAGTATAGTCTATAACATCCCATCCAATTTACTTCTAGAAAATTTTTATTTTACTTATAAATTTTTTGACACAAGTTTTTAACTAATGTTATTCTTTATAAATAATCATTTGATAGGTAGCCATATTTGAGCATTATCATGTTTAATTATAAGTAAAACACTCGAACTTTATGAGGAATCAAATTCCTCCTTCTCAGCTCAAGTCCTACTTATTAAACGACATTATTTGACTTAAAACGACGTGATTAGACCATAATAATTATTTAATCAAAATAAATAAATAATTTATATGAGATTGTGTCAAATTGGGAATCTATGAAATGAAGGACACTAAATTCATTCCCATGTGGCAATGTTTAAATAAGACATGAACGGTTGACTATTGACCAGCTACTAGGAAGAATATACATAGCATAGATTGAGGCATCATTTATGCATCTTTGTCAAAAGCTAAAAGCCTACAAAAATTGAATAATACAATCCAATATTACGGCCTTTCTTCATTTGATTGTTCCTTAAATCATGTTAGGCCCTACCAATTATTATTTTTAATTAACTATTACACTCTACGAATTCCAATAGGTTCATTCCACATAATAAAATCTGATTTGTATTCTGTTTATTAATTAGATATTAAAAAAAGTGAGATTCTCAATGAACCCCTTTTAAACAAATCAGATACGTGATGGCAATAATTACGTATGTGGTATATACAATGTTATTGTTTGTTCTTATTTGTTCTTGTCTCTTTCTCATATCTTCTTTTCTTTTTGGTCAATGTCTCTTTCTCATATCTTTGGATGAATTTTTAAATGTCAGAAACTAAAACAAACAAATTAGTTGGTAATTATGCTGATAAAGCATATAACCTTTTGTTAGGATGATAGAATATATGATATTATGTTCACCTTTCCTCCGGCTTTCTCGTATTTCTTTCTTCTCATTTAGTCATGTTAGGTATGGTTACGGAACTACCCCCTATTCTTATTATAAACCTTAAATAACTAATTCATATCTAATACTCCTTCGGTCTTTAATATAGGACCCAATTCTTGAGTTGTTTTTGGTCCTAAATATAAGACCCATTTTTCATATTTATCAATTTTCTTTAAATTACCCCTATGAATATTCCATCAACCATAATCAAGTAGAAGAGGGAGAGGGGTATTAAGAAAGATGATTATGGTGTTTTAGGAAAAATGTATCACTTTTCTTATAATTAACTAACTTACCTACCTTCCTTAATAATCAAATTAGTTAAATAGGTCTTATATTAAGGACCCGAGGAGTAAATAATTACTCTTCCAGTCTTTAATATAAGACCTATTTAACTAATTTGATTAGATTAAGAAAGTTAGATAAGTTAGTTAATTATAAGAAATGTGACACATTTTTCTAAAACACCATAATCATTTTTTTAATACTCATTTTCTTTTTCTACTTAATTATGGTTGAGGAAGTATCTATAAGGATAATTTAGAGAAATTGATAAATATGATAATTGGGTCCTATATTAAAAACAGGAGGAGTAGTTAAAAACAATAAATAAATTAAAGTAGACTTTTGTTATTGGCCAGAAAAAAAGAGAAATATATTTTTGTTTTTAAATATGCCTTTATAATAAATAAGAAAAAAAAGATGAAAGAGAATGTATAGAAAAATATGATTAAAAAAATAATTAAGGGTAACATTGAAAAATATGCATTTATGTCAATACAAATCCAAGCATTATTTTTAAATTCGAAGTTTATATATAAAACTGGAAGAAACATACCATTGTACTCCTCCGGTCCTTAATATAGATCCAATTCTTGAGTTGGTTTGATCCTAAATATAAACCCATTTCTCATATTTATCAATTTTTTCTAAATTACCCCTATGGATACTCCCTCAACCATAATCAAGTAGAAGATGGAGAGAAGGTATTAAGAAAGATGATTATGGTGTTTTAGGAAAAATATGTTACTTTTCCTATAATTAATTAACTTACCTAACTTTCTTAATATAATCAAATTAGTTAAATGGATCTTATATTAAGAATCAGAGGAGTATAACTTAGGCACACCACATAAAGATTTTCCCAATGTTTCGCGCTTGGACGGGACATCAACCGACAAATGAGCGGTTCCATGTTTTCACACGTTTAATTAATTAGACCGATGGCTAAGCTGATCACATACTAATTAAATAAATTTAAGAAAAAATAGTTATATACACATACAATAAGATAAAATCTAATAGGAAAAGCAAGTTGTTAATTTAAAATTGATGAAACTTACTAACCCTAAAATGAAATATGTTAAATTTAAAATTCTTTTTATTTTATAAAATTTTAAATTTCTTTTTGAGTGATGTGACCTAGTTAGAAGCTTGACAAATTTAATGATTCAATTTAAGTGTGTTTTAAAGAAATTTTTCCTATAAAATTTCCAATTTCAATAAAATAACAGCATGTAATTACAAAAGATATCAAAATGTTTTGGGCCTCATGAGAGAATGAATTTTCTTTTTTCCTTTTTTCCCCCCGTGGCCCAAAATCTGTTCTAATTCCCAATAGCAGTTCAACTTGAACCCAACCCATCTAATTCTTTAATACCGCCAAGTAAAGGTCAGAAACTCGAAAGAAATATCTAAATATAAATGAACAAACCATAAAAGGTCCCGCATATGGACCATTCTAACTACTTTTCCAAGAAGGCGAAATTACCCAACTGAGTGTGAAAATGTAACGACGGAGAGCCAGCAAAAATGGAAACACAAAATGAACAGTCGAGAAATTAAGTGACATACTCTTCTGATTCTTAATATAAAACCCATTTAACTAATTTAATTAGATTAAGAAAATTAGGTAAGTCAGTTAATTATAAGAAATATAACATATTTTTCCTAAAACACCATAATCATCTTTCTTAATACTCCCTCTCTCTCTTCTACTTAATTATAGTTGATGGAGTATTCATAAAAGTACTTTAAAAAAAATTAATAAATATAAAAAATAAATTTTATATTTAAGACCAAAATCAACTCAATAATTGGAATAACTCAATTACATAAGAGTGCTTTTAATTTTGACATGAATATAAAAGTGCTTCGCCCTCTGAAAAATTCTATTACTCCCATCTCGAAATAGCGATTACTCAGAAGGAGGGGAAAATACATCACAGGACGTGTCTTTAATATTTTTCAATTGATAAAAATACTGTCAACATAACTTCAATAAAAATATTTCAAATACGCTTAAATTTGTAAGAGCACCTTTATCGTCAAAAAAATTCAAAGAATAATCTCATCCAACGAGTTTAAAAACTCCTTTTGAACATTGACTAAACAATCTGGACACGTCCAACTTTCTAGTATTTTTTTGAATGGAAAACCATTTCATTCTAACAGTTCCATCCAATGTCATATTAAATAATTATAAACTAGCTATACTACACATACATTACTGAGAATTCCCAGACCTTATAATATCTTGTTTTCCCTGCACATGAGAAGGCATACAAGTTCCACTTTTTTCCCCCGGTGAGCACAAGATACACATGTTCCACTTTTACTATTCCTAATGACTACTATGCGTCCTATTCCCTATTAAGCTACAATAAGAGCTACAGAATGCTTACACAGAAGTGTCAAGCTCAAGCCTATTTGCTAACACAGATAACAACCAGCACCGCCATGCCTTTAATGAAATTAGGCACTATTTAATACAAAACTGGACAGTAATACATCGATCACGGCTTTAAAGAAAAGAATTTTCTACACGAATTGGCTTGCAAAGGAAGTCATCAAATAGAATCAGAATACATGGTTCTCACTCAAGCCCCGTTGGCTACAGGCATTTCCCAGCTTATGCTCTTGTAGTCAGCAGTCAGTAGTCAGATACTATTTTTCTCTCTCGTGTGGTTTTGGCGTAGCCTTTTATTCCAGGAGAACAACAAATAGATTCCAATCCCCAGTACATTAGATTTGTTCTCTCTGTTTTTTTTTTTTTTTTAAAAAAGAAAAAAACTATTGGAGCTTCAATAAGTCAGCACCTTCATTTTGACATCTGAGATAAAAGATGGAGAGAGAATACTTACCCAAATTAAGGTCGGGCTCAAGATAGCTCAACAGCTCGAAGTTGTGCACAAACTGTTGCAGCAATCTGTAAAGTAACAAGATCTGCAACTCAAGAACATGGAGAGACAGAGAGAGAGGCATTCTTTTGTAAGGTTGGAAAAAATTAAGTTTGTCACTTGAACTCAAGTTGATATTACAGCTTACTTTTTCTTTTTTTTCTTCTTTTTTTTTCTCCTTTTGGGCATGCTTCTCGGGCATATACAATATCAATATCAATCAACCAATGACTAATAAATCTCGTCTTAAAATCTGACCAGGCTATTTGACTTGAGAGTATTTCAAATTTTCTCCTCTTCTATCTTCGGCTAGAAGTCACAAGCTTATTGTAGCAGTATCACGATCTTAAGATTCTTAACTGAATCATATATACAAGATGAAATAATAATATTGTGAAGCAATACAGTGCAAGGTTCAGCTCCACGGTCCTCCGGTGTACAAAAGGAACTATACTCCAGATCCTACATAATGAGATTCAAAAGAAATTATTTTTGGGATGTGAAGCTGAAGGCATCCACCTAATAGTATTCCATCATCTTCAACAACATACATATTCTATCCTTCTAAATAAAATTAATATATAATGCTACTGCACCTGAAATATTTACAAGCACATGTAGAAAAAGGGAATTTGAGCTCCTCAGTGCTGGTAGGCTGATGACTGCACAAACACAATTGCCTTTCATAAGTAAACTTCATAACTGAGTGGTCTTATTAAGCGTTATAAATTCAAAGTAAACATGGATCATCCCAGCGAAGCATCCAATATCTGAATAGCATCTCTAAACCATTCAGCCTATACAATGGGAAGGAGAGAAAAATAGCCCATGGAAAAGACTAAAGAACAACCCATAAAGAAACAATACTTTGTCTCCATAGACCTCCATAGATCAGGTCACATCAAGGCAACTGTTTTAGGCCACCTTGTGTAAAAAGGGCACTAAGCTTAAACAAGTAGTGAAAGCTTCAAATGAATTCCTGATTATTTTTTTTCCACAAGTCACTAGTATGTATGATTCATTCACTTTATATGTCACTATAAGACAATAAATGAAAGAAAGAAAAGTTAAAATTGTCATGGTGGAAATTCAGTAACCGTTAGTGAATAAGAAGACCAAAAGATATTAAACCAATATGATATTGAAGGACAATATGACAGCGCAGAAAATTTCATAAAATCACAGGAAAATTATTCTGAGTAATGCACTCATTTTCTTGTCCTCCCCTTTGATATTGCATTTATTCTCTCTTTTACTTATTTTTTCCGTTTTCCAGAGAGAAAAGGCAAAAAGCAAACACTTATTCTTTCAATACGATCAGAGTAAAATAAAACAAATCTCATACAAGAGTTAAATTGATGAGAACTACCTTAAGAGTTCTTCATAATAGGCTCGCACTTGATAGTCCAACAGACCTCTCTCTTCCGAAGGATTCATCATCAAAATCTTCATTTGCAGAATTCTCTTGACACAGCAATTTACTCTCACGATTTGTGTTTATTCCAATTGTCTCCCAATCCATTGAATTATCCTGACCAACATTGCCTTGTTCAGATGCAAGATTGGTATCAATATTGTCCTCCACATTTAGCCTCACATCATCAGACACAAGCTCTCCTCCCTTATCATCTTCAATACCCGATGGCTCAGCATTGAGATCTGAGCACAGGTCATATCCATTTTGCTCCCCAGTCCCATGATAAGCAACAGTTACTGCTCCTTGATCAGATTGATCTGTAGCATCTTTTTTCTGCCTCTTCCATTTTTTTGTTGATGAAGTGCCATCATCCTCAAAATCTTCTTCTTCTCTTTCTCTATGTAAATAAACCCACAACTTCCTTTCCCCATCAAATTGCACACAAGGGTCACGTTCATAATGCAACCGATCCAAGGCCCCACTAACTACCTGGTTAATCTGAGCATCAGAGACATCTTCAACAATATATTGAGAATCTCTAATTAATGTGCAAACATCAGCTCTAGTGCCAATACTTCCAGGCAACCTGGCAGCTGCATCTCTGACCAGACAAAGGATAGTAACATGCGGTGGTCTATCACGTTTCAACATAAAATGGTCTCGGGCTTTGGATGTTGGCTTACCACCACATCTTCTCAAGGGTGCAACAATAGATTTTTTACCATCAGCTGCAGTATAAGAGAATGCTCTGTCAGGAATTGAGTACCTAAGAACTTCCTCCCTGCGGAAATAAGCCCTGACTTCCTCAGAACTGGGGCTAATAGTGTTAAGACTCTTCTGAGCTCTGAGGTCTCTAAATCTCTCTTTCTCATCAAGGTTGACTTGCATCAACTCCAAAGGTGGTGCAGGAAGACTTCCTATTTGTTGAAGTGTTTCCTGACCACATTTCAGCCAATTGGCAAAGGAATCAACCAACTTAACAAGCATCTTATGAGGGAGGCCCCAAGCTTCAGGAGATGTCACTTCCTCAATAGAATCATGATCAGATGAATTATGAGGAACTGGACCAGTCCATGACCAGCATCTTGTGGATTTTTCATACACTGCTAGCACCTTCCAACCCTTCGCTCCTAATGGCGCTGTTTTTGAGGAAAATATCTTCAAAACTCCTCTGACCAAATCCTGCAGAGGTTCTTGCATCTCCAGAATACAAGGATCACCAGGGTTAGATCTGACACGGTGAACAATTTCCTGGACAGTAAGAGATGTATTCACTTGGCCAGCAAGCTCAGAATTGGTGGCCATCTTCTCATTAGAGGGGATACCATTAGCAGTACCTACATGTGCTGTATTCTGATCTTCTCTAGGTTTTCCCACCTCTAAACTGTCTTCTGCAAGAGGGGCAATCATTGCCATACGGACGGCAGAAAGAAGATGTATAATAGAAAATGAGAATCCAGTATGAACAGTAGGCGTAATCAAAGTAAATGGTTTTTTCTGCGGTTTTGCTTCTAGCTCTGTATCTGCTGTTCCCAAATCTGCAATGGGCAGTTCAGAAATATCCACATCCGAACTAGCTGCTTCAATCTCCATTTTTCTCTTTGACTTTCTTTTGAAAGATGTTGAATCATCAGTTTGAAAATTAGACACAGGATTGGCATCCCCTTCTCTTCCATCCAGATCTGCTGCATCATCCTTCATTTTCCACTTCTTTGTCACCGAGTTGCACGCCAGAAATTGCGCATCAGATTTTCCATATTGGTCATCCTTGTATCCATATTTTTTCCCTTTCTTCTTAACTCTGCCCTGACCAACCCCATTATCATCCACCACCAACCGTGCCTCATGTGAGTCATTCTCCTCATCACCAATATAATCATTCAAGTATTTAGACCTGAGAATGGAGCGACCAAACTCAGTTCTTCCCTTCCCTTTCTTCTTTAGCTCATAACTATAAGCATTTGAAGAAGGCATGTCTATATTCGACCATTCTTGCCCAATGTAGTTTTCTCTCCAATCATCATCACATCATTAAGCTTCTCTGAACTCGAGGGATAGCTCTCTTCCAAAAGTTTATTGGCAAAATCATGCAAACGGCCACTTTGGCGCATTTTACCTTTCTGTTTTTCCTTTGAAATGAAATTTTCTGCACCAGGCAGAGAATTCTCTCCAAAATAACCCATCTTCTTGGATTTTGCTTTCCCATGTCCCTTGAAGTCTTTCTTCACAAACTTTGCTTCCTTGGGTTCTAGGCGGGACTTCAAAATTGTCATGCGAGAATCATCATTAACTGAGTAAGGAAATTTGCTCTGCAACAATGGATTACCATCCTCATCATCATTCAACTGTTCTGATGAGTCTGATTCGGTTTCTTCACCTCTATGAAGCATCCTCCTGCCTCTTGAAGCCAACATATCTTGTCCTCCATTCTGTACAAAAGCCCCTCTAACCTTACCCTGCAATGATTTTTTTCTGAAGTCAGTGAGCGCATGTCTATCACTCACTTGGGGTGAAGAAGATCTATAAGCAGCATAACTGAGATCAGGAGACTCCCTCCCTGCCTTCCACCTCTTGCTCCTCAAATTCCAGTCATCATATTGAAATGATGAATCCAGAGCAGATTCATCTCCAGGGGTTTTGCTGGTGCCAAAAAATTCATCATGATCTAATGAATCAACAAGACTTCCTTTAGGTGGGAGCTGTGATCCCCTGAGTTTAGGCTTGATTTGATCATCAACAAATTGTTGGCTATTTTCAGTATGCTTAGCCTTTCTAGAAAAATCATAAGAACCTCTGGTAGATAATGACTTTGTGAACATTTTCATATCTGAGGATTGGTTTGCATTCCGAGAGTAAGTATGCAGATCGGCCTTTGAGGACAAAGATAGACTCATTATATTGTCATTATCCATTTCATCGCCTCTAAGAAGATCATGCCTCTTTCCCATTCTCATAATACCAGATTTATCCGTCATTTTGCCACGCAATGCATTTCGATCTTGCGGGACACCAAGTTCATATGTCATATCCTCAGCAGCATCACCATTCCTCATATGATCCCTCATCCTCATCATCAACCCCGAATCATAAGCCGCAGACTTTTGCAGAGGAAACACACTTGTCGAACCGTTTAGCCCAGGATTCTTATCCAAACCATGGTACCCAGAAGACATGTAACCAGCTGGATCCTTGGCTGTAGATGCCTTTAATCCAGCCAACCTAAGCATGCCCTTCGGGTTTTGCTTTCCATACTTTTCTGGTTCCACACCCACTGATCGTCCTCGTGAGTGAAATTCCAAACCAGAACCTGCCCCATGAGAAGAATGACGACCCATTTTCTGCATATTCTTCCCATCCTTGTTCTTTCTATTCCATATCCCTTCACCAGAGTCTTCGTCTGATGAACCAACCACCAAATCATCAATCTTCTCAGACATCAAACTCCTTTGACTTCTCATAATGTTCAAAACACGAAGCCTTTCTTCAATACTGTATCCCCTGCAATTAAGCCAAGCATCCCTTACCTGACAGAGATTGACAACCATGTTGTTTTGATGCTTCCTCAGTAGATGATAATGCTGCCGCTTCTGGAAAAAGTTCAAACCCTCCCTGTAAAGTGCAACTCTTGGTTCACACAAGCCCCCTTTAAGCATTTCAAACAACTTCTTAATGGGACTCCCAAAATGGAGGTTACAACCAGTAAACAGATCTGTTAAGGTTCGAACAAAAGCCTCTTGGTCCATGTCAGGAAGATACTTGGCAAGTTCAAATCGCTCTTCCTCACTCAAGCAATCATTCCAAACATCCACTGACAATATTTCTTCAAGTCCTGGAAGATCATATAATTCCAACGGGATGCTGCAAGTCTGGTTGCCAATTTGGCAAAACTCTGCTCTAGTTTCACCCAATTCCAGCAAATCAAAGTCATCTGACCCTGCCCCAGAATCTGCATCATCAAACTCATCATCATCATCAGATTCCACGGCTGAGTTACGCCGCTGAAGATCATCCTCATCACTAGACATAGTCTCCCTACTGTGGGGTGAAAACTCAGAATCAAGCCTTGATGCCTTAAAGTTGTTCTTCTCAATTGCCATGGCACATAAGACCAAACGGCTGCCAAATCTTACTCACAGAAGAAGTGCAACTCCAATAGCCCAATATCAAAAATTTGTTGCCCACCAAACAAATCTCAATCAAAATCCTAACACAAAGAATACAAATATCATAAATGACTAGATCTTAAGCCTCAATAAAATAAAAATTTAACCCACAAGTACATTTCAGCAAAGAGATAGAGGAATGAACATGAATTAAGAAGCTCCAGAAAAAGAAAAACAAGAATTACAAGTGCAAGGATTTGTTCGCACAATACCTGATTCACAGCAAAGGAAAGAAAACTCCAAAGACAAATTTGTGATTCACAACATGAATTCCCCTGCATGGTAGCCTAATGAGGACAGACAAGTCGGATGGCTGTGCAAAAAAGATATGCCAAGACTCCAGCGCAAATTTCAAGAGCCCTAGAAAAAATTGAGCAAAACAAAGGTTCATGGGGATCCCCAGAGATTAACAGAAAGACTAAGCAACTAAGTAAGCTTTGATAAATTATACAAGCAAAGAAGAGACACCAGTCTCTATCGCCAGTTCTCCCAACAAAATCATTAGTGTATTCTCTCTAAAAACCATGAGTTGATGCTATTAAACCATGGTAGAATCCAATCAACAAAGATATCATCAAACTTTAAAAAGGATCACTATCTCCAAACAACATCACCACACCTTTTCTCACAAACTATGAGATGCAAGGAAACGGGATTGATGATAGCATTGTCACAGTGCAAGTGGCAAGGCTGTGCGACCAACCGTACCCCTCCTTGCTCCATAACTTACCACAGAGACCCCAAAATAATAGAATTTTTTTTAAAAAAAGTAAATCCACATAAATGAAGAAAAAAAATTATAAAGTACGAATACTAATTCAAAGAACACAACAACTATGAAAATAATATTCATATCAGTATGCATTCTAACTAGCAACGTTAAATGTACTATAAAATTAAAAGAAGACATTACTTATACTAGCTTACAATACAGAGGCCAGAGAACACCATAATCTGGAGAGTAAACTCAGTGTGAGGGTCCAAGTGAAGCCAATGAATAAGTTGGGAAGTTGAGAAAAGAAACAAAGAACTCCGAACTATTCAAATTCAGTTTCAGTGACACATCCGGATATGAGCATTATCTTGCGTCATAATCAACCAAATGGGAAATTTAGATCGTGGCTTGAAAATTGGGAATCTACTCTACTAGTGCCAGACAAAGAACAATAAAATGATTGACATAATTTTATTGATGTCCCTCGCAATCATGCCAATGAACGACAGAAAAGATCAAACCCAATCCCAGCAATAACTATATCCTAAGAGCTCACACTCCGTAACATCAATTTCGTCGACTCCTTTTGGCCCAATTTCAAAACGAGGCCAAACGATGAACCTAATCAAAACTGCCTTCCACTACCAAGCAACTAGCAATTAACATTGAATGAAAAATAGAAAATTGATTTCACCCAAATCGACAAATAGTTGAACAATATCAAATTACAAGAATCAACAGGAACCCAGATGGGAAAAGATGGGAAAATGGTCAGCGAAACCGAAAACCCTTACCAGGAGGGGGAAAATCTGGAGATGGAGATAAGGGAAATGACTCGGCGAAGAACTGGACGCAAAACAGCGGCGTCGACGCAGCGAAGAATGGAGGCGAGCAACGGGTTGCGGTGGCTAGGTTTCGAAGTCGGAGAAGAAAACAACAGTGGAGATGAAGGGGAAAGACTGATCGAAGGAATTGGGGCTCCTGGGTTCTGCCTGGTTATCTTTTTTTTTAAAAAAAAATTAATTAGAAATTAGATCAGAAATTACTCTATTTAGAAACTTGAATTTTGAATTATCATAAGATTCTGATTTGTATTTTGTTGATATTCTTGTAAAATAATTTAATATATCATTTATTGATCAACACATTTTACTGTTAGTATTAATATTAATTGGATAACTGAATTTTCGAAGCCGACCGGGTACTTACAAGAAATCTTACTATTTTTTTTTTTAGAAATCTTACTATTTATAGTTATTTAGTTGTGCATTTATAACTTAGACTTGTGGTTACAATTATAATTTTTGAATATGAATAATATGGGCATTTTTCAGCTCAAAAAGAATAATAAGTGGATTTTTCTATAAACAATAATAAATATTAGACATGAAAAGGAGTTGGAAATTGTAATATTAAAGAAAACAATACTGATCTGAAATTTTGTAAATATAATCAAGTGACTAAAATATCTTTGTATGAGTTTTTTTTAATTAAAAAACTATCAAACTTTTATTGTTAGTACTTTTTTTATTATTGGTTGTTGAATACTTATTATTGTCAGTTCATAATAATAATTGTTATTGTTAGCATATTTTTTTTCTTGTCATTTGTCGTTCAATAATTGTTATTCTTAGTTCACAGTTTGTTAATAAGTTTTTTGTATAATGACAAATTTGTTATTTAATTATATTTGCAAAATACTAGATTAGACATTATTTTCTCTCTTAAGATTTTGACCTCTAATAGAATATTACAATTTTTAACTTTTTTTTTATGTTATTTTCCCTAAATATCAATATGTTGATAAGATTGGTACGACTTTTTTTTTTTGGGAAAATTGCGGAGAAGGACCTAAAAAAATTAGTATTTATTAAAAGGGATCTTAAAAATTGTAATTAATTTGAAGGACCAAAAATTAAAATATGAATTTACAATTACGAAATTATCTCTAACCAAATACCTACATTATCTTCAACACCTATCTCAATATTTGACTATTAGTTATCAATTAAAATATAAATTTATAATTACTATATTGCCCCCATTAAAATTAAAAACTAAATACAGCAATTAACAAAAAAATAGAGTCCTATTTTTCAGTCATTCATATCTGCATCTACTGGCCTTTCATTTTGATATGGTTGGAAAAATTTCCAGCTTGCGTGATTGCAATTTTGCCCCTCATTCCGATGTGGTTGGAAAAATTATTACTAAAGCTTAGGTTGCGAAGCTGTACTATTTACCTGATTTTCATATTTTGGTTAACAGAAAGAACTATATTTACATTCATCTAAGAAGCTTTGTATAGATAGCGTGATTGTGTTCATATGTATGTATAGCTGGGATTGAATGAAAGTACAAATATATACTTTTATATTCATCCAAAAAGTCTTTATATAGAGGCCATGAGAAAATAAGAAAACATCCAGTACAAACAAAGTAAGGGAGGAAAAATAATGTTCAGAATATACGTACCATCCAATAAATAGTCTGTTAATTGATTCTTTTTAATTTGTCTTCTTTGTTCTGGATTTACAAGAAGACGATTGCTATTGATAGAAACTTTGGGTGCATCAAAAAGAGATATGCAGAGAGAGAGAGATCAAGTTCAATTGATAATTAATCGTCAAATTAAGATAAGAGGGTGTTGGAGATAATGTAGGGATTTGACAATGGATAATTTGGTAATTGTAAAATTTTATTTTAATTTTTGGTCTTTCAAATTAATTACAATTTTTAAGATCCCTCTTAATAAATACTAATTTTTTTAGGCCCTTCTCCCTAATTTCCCCCCTTTTTTTTTAACCAGAGATATTTGTACGCCTTTGTGCGTATGTGTCCATATGTATTTGTGTGTCATGTATACAGACTATACTTTAGAAATATACTTCCTCAGTCTCTTTTTATAAAAAAATAATCTCTTTTAAAGTGATGTTTCAAAATATAACAAATAAATTTTTTTGTCTCAAATTTTAAACTAATCTTTTTACTTTTATCCCATTAAATATATATCACTTGTTATCTGTATAATAACTTTCCACCCATTATCTCTCATGTAGCTTCTTTATAAATAGAGCTAAAATTAGACAAACATATATATATATATATATATATATATTACATATTTATTGTTTTTAAATAAATTGAATTAATATTTCAAATCATATAATTTTAATAGTTGTTCTTTATAATAAGGTACAAGGGAGCAATAAAATTATGAACAATATAACATATTCATCTACGTGTAAATATATATGCGTGCGCGGCGTGTGCTTTCTAGTTTTCAGGTTTAATTTTATTTAAGTATTTGTGTTTAATTTAATCTCCTAATTTTATTTTGATTTTTAAAAAAGTTATTTTCTTACATGAATATTTAAAAGTTATTTAGATATATATAATAAAATATATAAAATATCAAATCTAATCTACAAAACAAAATCAAGCAAATATAATAGCATTGAATAATTACTAGAAATTAATTCACTCAACTTATAAAAAAGTCGTTTCTATAAAATGAAATAATTAATAATCCATTTATTTCTTTCTCAATAAAGGGCAGAGTTGCATTTGCGCCAAAGAATATTTAAAGACGTGTGATTTCATAGATTAGAGAAATCTGACCATCTTAATGAAAATGCATTAGTGCATCTTTTAGCCACGATTTGAAATTGGTGAAATTAGATTGATGACCTCTAATAAGTAGGAAACCAAGCTAGAATGACCTTATGAATGGACAAGAGATGACAAAGCCAAAAAGACAAAAGCCAGAAGTGTTAAGATGGTGTTTTCGGAGAACATCATAGGTAGACAACCAGAAACATTATGAAGTAGTTTCCAAGTAAAAAATAGCTGCTTCAAAGGCACAGGAATGTCCTGAAGAAATCTCCGAAATTAACATACACTAATCATGGTCCCTGTGGCTAGAAATATATGTTGTCTTTCTTAAACTATCTTTGTTAATTAAGTATATTTGCTGAAATTACCAGTTGTACCTTGAGAAAAAATAAATATATATAAGAGACAAAATGAATTGGTATCTTATATTTAAGATCAACTTAAAAGTCAAACGGACAGTTACACTTATTTTAAGCCGCAGGTAGTATTATACAGCAGAGGTAGTATCATTGTTGTTATATGATGAGGATTGAAGAAGATGAGCAACTCCAACTCTGACTCAATAAGCTCCCAAGCCATGATAAAACCTGATATTGGGCTTCACCATGAACCGAGGATCTTCAGTGAAAAACCCTTTTTTGCCTCCTGTCACAGCAGCACCTCCAAGATCCTTTGCAAAGTCAGTGCAAGGGAGGAAGCAAAGTCCTCGAAGCCCATTGCAGGATCTGAGCCGCATTTCTGGTAGCAGCAATAGCAGTGATTCTTCCGGCATCTCTGTTGAAGCCTCAAGAGGTTGCCTCAGATTTTTCCGCTCCCACTATTCTTCTTCCTCTTCCTCAAAATCCTCTGCCTCTAGAACAAAATACGTCTCAAAAACTCCCAATTCAATCCCAATGTGCCTCCTTTGAGACAGCCTAAAGCTAAAGAGAACCTTGCAAAAGGTAATAGTGGGGAGCACACCAAAAACTTACTTCAGAGAAGCCTCAGAAATGTAAGAAGAATCCTCCGTGCCTTTATCAGAGGCAACCTGGGAAGAAATCATGTTCTATAATTGGCCAAAAATCCATGTCCTCTTCTGTTCTGAATGACCATTGCAATTTTCTTCCTACGTTGCCGTCTCCATTGAAAAGTCAAAGCTACAGGAAGATAGATTCAAGAGGATAAATGACAAAGACGATGAGTGTCCCCACCTCAAATCCTGTCATAATGAAGTAACTTTGACTCCTTTTAGTAAAAGATCGTCTAAGCCACATTTGGATATTGTAGGTAACGATGGTGATGTTAAAGAGAACTCAAATACAAGTCCCAGTAAAGCACCTTCAATTCAAACCTGTGTTATTTCAAACTCTAGTTCAGATATCCATGTTGGCATGCCATGGGTGCATGGAGACCATCTGAAGAAAGACAGTTGTAAGCTTGGCCTTCATTCTATACGTGAAGTTATTCAATCAGCTAGCTTCATGCCTGTCCCATTTGAGGATTCTGTTAATTCAAGTTTCCAATTTGATTGCTCAGCTCTGCCTTCTGATTCAATTGACCTCTGTAAACTTTCAAAATTTTTGGACGATCAGGTTCCTTGGTTATCTAGTTCTACAACTAGGAGAGCATCACGGCCCCAAATGAGGATATCATGGAGGGAAGGGGTAATGAGCCCACTTTATGAGATAGATGACTTTGATTGTTGCAAACACTTGTCTGATGAAGAAGACCTTTCTAATTACTGTAACAGCAACAATTTAAAAATCCATCATGGTCCTGAATAAATGACAAAGCAGATTATAATAAAAAGTTGGATAATGATGTGAAAATCACTGAAACAGATGATCAAGCGCTGAGAATTGAGGGGTTGGGCAAAGAAATATTTCCACGTCTGCTATCTTGTTCAGGTGCAGAGTCTATAAGCACTGATGGAACTGGTCTGCTTGCTTCAAGAGATGATTCAGATTGGGCGTCATGGTACAAGAATACATTATCTGAGTATTAAAATTGACCTTCGTTGTCCATTCATTCCTGTAAGAGCTAGACTAGCATGCCAAAAGTTGGTCTTTAGGAGTTGATCTCTGCCTGTGCTCATCAAATTTGTGTCTGACTTTCCAGTGGAATTTTATATCTCTGGTGTTTAATGTAATGCATTTACAATAAGACTATCTTAAATCTGTTCATTGAAAGGGAGGATGTTAGAGGGCTAGTTGAAAAATTAAAAATAAAATATTCAACATGCACTGGAATATTGGAGGGTTAGCTAATAAAAAAATTCATATCATAATTTGTTATTAACGGGAAGTCTGACAATTTTCAAATGGCATTCCAAACGTATAGGTTCATCCTTGTCTGATGCACTTTAAGATTTTTC